TAGAAAACACCACGCTCTGAATGCAATAATAATCACAAGATTCTTTTCGCATGCGATGTACTAAAAATACCAAAAATAAATTGTGTCCATCCCTGAGAACAATTTAAAACTGTAAAACATTACGTAAAACACAAAAAAAAAAACTTTAAGTGGTATGGCATGCCACCAATCCAAATCCCCAACTGAAAAGCAGAGGCAATCCTACCCACGCCCACGTGCCATATCATAAGAACCACGTGTACATTGACGCCCACCATCCACTCCCCCCGCTCCCCTACCCCCGTAGGCACGCGTCTCCATCCAATCGATCCTCCACCCTCCAGACACAAAGCCTCCCCACGTGACCTCAACTCTCCGCTCGCTCACGACCCTCACCTCATCAACAAAGCCACTCGTTTTTGCCGCACGCACCCAAGCAACGAAGCAGAAACAATGAAGATAATCACTCCCGGTGGGAGATGCATCCCTTCTGCTGCTGCGACCGTAGCAAAGTCGTTACCTAGCTGCCAAAGGCCATACGACATACACTTAGTTCTCATATAAGAACCGCTAGCGGTAGGTACACTCGGGGGCAGATTGATGTTCTACAACTCTTTATCGACCGGGTTCCTATGGCTCAGCATTGGCAGCAGCCGCCTGGTACCGGTAGACTGTGCCGCTTCACTTACTTGTCAAGCGGCACAGCCTACCCACACCGTATGACACCGGTCTGGGTCGGTGGCTGGAAGGTGATGTGGGCCGCCTGTGACGTCAGCGCAGCGGTGAGGGCCGAGCCCGGAGGCATGGCTCGGGTCGGCGCGGCGCGGCGGCTGGCGAGGGCTGGGGAGTGAGGTGGGGTGGGAGCACGGACCATCGCGCGGCTGAGAGAGTGTAGTTAACTTTCGCGTCTCAAGGCGCCAATTATTCTACCTTGAATTGTGCTAAAGCAGTTGTTAAAATGTCCTATCCCCAAGACAGCGCCTATCATCATACTTGCCATGCACATCAACGACACACTTAAGCGTGGCAATGGGACAGCCGATAGAACTTATGTCACTCGTGCATCGATGTGCGGAGCTATATTTTGTATAACATATTAGTATTAAGGCCTTGATTGAGCAGATTGGTGTCTATTGTTTCGCACGGCAATCGTCCAGAGACGTGGGAACTGGGGGTTATGGGTAGTGCCGCAGCCAGCGCCCCAATTTAAAGCGATTATTACTGTTGCTCTAATATGTGGTCGCAGGGCTAGCCCCCCCCCCCCAATAGCAAACCGTTCCAACTAGGAGCCAAAAAGTCGGCCACTCAGGGGGGTTCGAACCGGGCTTCTCCCACCAGCCAATTCACGACAGGAGCGTTCATCCACTGAGCTACCGAGAATGGTCCTCGGCTGCCCAAAACAAAATGACATTCACCCGCTGACCGCCAATGACAGTATTGTGACATTTGATCGCGTTTGACCGCGGCGGGTGGTCGCTGGTCTCGGCAGCTCAGTGGATACACGCTGGTGTCGTAGGGTGACCAGATTGAGAAGCCCGGTTCGAACCGTCCCAGGCGCGTGACTTATTTGTTCCTAGTTGGAACGGTTTGCTTTTGGTGGCTGCGACCACACATTAGAGGAATAGTAAGAGTTGCTTAAAGTTGGGACGCCGCGCTATCCAAAAACCCCAGTCTCTGGACGATTGCTGTGCGAAATAATAGACACCAATGAGCTCAATCAAGGCCTTAATACTTATCTGTTAGGTGTAAACAATGTAGCTCCGCAACTCTATGCGCGTGTGATATAAATTCTATCGGCTGTCCCAATGCCAGGTAGAGCAATGTTAGGTAGAATAATTGGCGCCTTGAGACGCGAAAGTTAACTACACTCTCTCAGCCGCGCGATGGTCCGTGCTCCCATCCCACCTCACTCCCCAGCCCTCGCCAGCCGCCGCGCCGCGCCGACCCGAGCCATGCCTCCGGGCTCGGCCCTCACCGCTGCGCTGACGTCACAGGTGGCCCACATCGCCTTCCAGCCACCGACCCAGACCGGTGTCATACGGTGTGGGTAGGCTGTGCCGCTTGACAAGTAAGTGAAGCGGCACAGTCTACCGGTACCAGGCGGCTGCTGCCAATGCTGAGCCATAGGAACCCGGTGGATAAAGAGTTGTGGAACATCAATCTGCCCCCGAGTGTACTACTTCTGCTGAGCTATACAATAGCGACAAAATGCGAGAGATGCAATAGCGGCAAAGTGCTAGCCGCCAGGGCGCTGGCGGTAAGCGGCTGCAGCATTAGAGACCAACAACAAGCCCGTTGCATGCCTTTTTGTGGCGAGGAGGGGTGGGGGGAGTGGACAGACTTCAGAGGCGGAACAGCTCGTCAGCAAGGCCGAATGTTGGCCTTCGTGAACGAACTGACTGCAGGGAGTCTGGGAGGTGATCGCGTGTGTGGTGGAGGAGAGAGAGAGAGAGAGAGAGAGAGAGAGAGAGAGAGAGAGAGAGAGAGAGAGAGGGGGGAAGGAGGATAAAGTGAGAGACAGAGAGGGAGGGAGAAGGGCGGATGGATGAGAGAGAGAGATGGGGGAAAGGAGAAGAGAGGAAAGAGGAAAAGAAAAGAGAGGAAAGAGGAAAGACAGAAAAGGTAGAGAAAAAGAGGGAGGGCGAAAACAGAAACAGAGGGGACAAAAGAGGGGGGAGAGTACAGAGGAGTGAGGAGTGGAGTGAGAAGTGAGTACCTATAGAGGGAAGGGGCAAGAGGGTGGATGAGAAGAGGGGAAGAAAGAGCGTAGAGGAGAGGAGAGACAGACGCCGGCAATGCCGACACAGGCGAGGAACACCCGAGCAAATCCATGCACTGTCACAAGCATGCTGCTAAAATCAGCTCCTACAGGAGCCTGGTGACTCACTTCCTACCTCGTTTCGACAACGACAGAAAGACAGAGTGTGGGATGAGGGTAGAGGGAGGGAGTGACCTTGCACGACGTCCCCAACTCACGCTCCAGTACCCCCGATGAATTTGACCTCGGGGGACACGGGTGGTGGTGTATCAGAAACAGACTGGTTTCTCTAACCTTCGACACACTGTCTACCGCGCGGAATGGAATAGAACTAAATGAAAATGCAGTGAGGTTTACAACTTCGGTGAAATTAGTCAGCTATGGATTGCTTTTCATGTTTGCTATCGATGAAGAGCCTTTGCCATTGGCATTGGGTTTAAAAAGGTCTGTCGAGTCATCATGAAAAGCAAATTTTCAAGCAAAGATTGTATGATGGAAAACATCAGCATGCATATGTAATATGCATTATGTAAATCACGAAGAAAAATAGATATTTTGTTTGTTTGTTTTGTTGGGTTAGGCCCTTTCGGTCGACAAGACCATTGCAGAGCCGGAAGGATGATAGGATTTAGGGGGAGACATTGGTCTGGACAGGCACCCTAGTGAGTCGCCGGGGCTGAGCCCGTCCAGAGGACAGGCCACCCAGCCTCAAGGCACTCACTGCACCCGGCTACGGGGTGCGCTCCCTCAGGAGCAGCGGTGCCGCTCCAAGGGAGCAGCCCGCATGAGATAAAGTTGCCTGTCCAGCCCGGAGCGGGGTTGCGGCGTGGAGGAGTAGGATTTCAGTATCCTGAGGATAGAAGCATGGAAAGGTGAAAAATAGATATGGTAGTCGTTAGATGATACGCCAGTCTGCGTCGAAGTATTTCGGCAGTTTCATCAAGGCATTAGCAAAGTTCAGCCTCCTTGATAGAACTCATTCAACAAAATTTATCAAGACAGAAAAGTTGCAAGCCCGTTCGCATTTACGCTGAACACAAAAGTCACAACTAATTTAACTCTCGTCCGAAGTTGAAAGCTTTCCGCGCCCTAGATAAACCCCCGTGCCAAATTTCGTCTAAATATGTGTTTACCATTACTGAAGGGTACAATTAGCATTGAAATGATAACAGCAGAGCAGTGGTCCACTCAAAACATGTTACCTTTACCCCCCCCCCCCGAAGCACCATTCGGTATCATTGTAGAAGGTTCTCGGAAGGTCACAGCTGCTGCTGCAGTAAGGTCAGAAGCAGATAGCATGACCCCCCCCCCCCCCCCGAAGAGGACGGCTGGCATTTATGGTCAGCACGACTGATGAGTCAGTCATCAGTTACACAGACTGAGCGACTGAATGAATAAAGGCCTGAATGACTGAATGAATGAAGGGCTGAAAGAGACGAGACAGAACAGGCCACATGGACAGAAGGACAAGCGGACAGACTGACGAATGTCAAGAAATGCATGCACATACAGACAGGCAGCTGGACAGACAGGCAAACTATAAATTGAACCAAAGGACAGACAGGACAGATGGACAAACAGACGAACACAGGGAAAAGGGACAGACCAATGAATGAGAGAACATCATTAGAGAGACCGGCACGGCGTGGCAGGTCAGACAAGGAGGCAGCCCCCTCATCCACAAAAAAACTAAAGTATGACCAGTTAGACGAAACAGAGAACAACAACGCACGCGCAAGAACGGATGGACAGAAAGACAGACAGACAGACAGACAGACGGACGAACAGAGACACCACCTGCCGCAGCTGCCAACCGCGACAGCTGATTGGCCGAACACTGAGCCGAATAGCCAATAACAGATCAATTATACACACCGTTCATCCATGACACAGAGTCATTATCCCTCCCTTCGTTACTAGCTTGTAAGTCACTTCATTGGTCCCCGCTTCAACGCTAATGAATGTATGAAGGAAGAGCATAGGCTCGGTAGTAATTAGTCGTGATCAATAAGTTTTTGACGACTTTTATCAACAGTGTAGGCCTTTAATAATCATTTTGAGATATTATTAAAGCAACGAAGTAGGAAAGAGCAGACAATTGAATTGAATCAATTGAATTCGATTGAAACTTACATCAGTATCACCGTTTACCAACAGAGCATGCTAGTTGAAATTAAGGATCGAATTGGCATCACGCATTCAAAACAATGGCGTGTTGGTGTTGGTATCCGATTGAACTAGCATCACCACATAATGCACCCACCTTGTGTTGGGCCCTGTTCCTACCAGGTCGGAAGCGGTCCCTCCAACCCATGAGGTCAAGGGGTCAGGTCACGGTCCAAGTCAGGTCACTAGGCGACCTTGCCGATGGTCATATCCAAGACAGTCTGATATTGATCGTCGCTTTGGTTTTTCCACTCGTGCCGCAGGCTTATTTTTCCGCTCAGTTCTATCAAAATGTTCCACACGACTTTCACAAATAAATAAATAAATATGCCGTTTAAAACACCACTTTTCGTAGTCTATTCCTTAAATATCAGCTCTCTTCATCACCAAAAGCCGAAACCAGCTTCAGTCTCACTAGAAAGTCACTTCACCTGAACTAAACTCTCAATGTCCACGCACCAAAGTGGAAATCCACTCCACTCTGTCCACACCACGTCCACCTACAATCGATCCACAGTCCACACTCCTCGTCCACAATGTCGTTCCACCTCCACTCGTCCTCAATAACTCTCCACCACACTCGGGGCTGTTCCACCAACCCGCGGCTCAGTCGGACCACTGCTCTGGACTGTCTACCCAGACTGGAGGGGAGGTAGACCGTTCAGCCCGGGGGCACCGCTGGGCAGGGGCGGTGCCAGGCGCGCGAGTTGGGGAGGACGAGGACTGCGGGGGAGAGAGAGAGAGAGAGAGAGAGAGAGAGAGAGAGAGAGAGAGAGAGAGAGAGAGAGAGAGAGAGAGTGAGAGTGAGTGAGAGAGGGGAAAGAGGGAGGGAGGGAGGGAGAGAGAGAGAGGGAGAGAGAGAGGGAGAGAGAGAGAGTGAGATAGGGGAGGGAGGGAGGGAGAGAGAGAGGGGGGAGGGAGGGAGGGAGAGGGAGAGAGAGAGGAGAGAGAGAGAGAGAGAGAGAGAGAGAGAGAGAGAGAGAGAGAGAGAGAGAGAGAGAGAGAGAGAGAGAGAGAGAGAGAGAGAGAGAGAGAGAGAGAGAGAGAGAGAGAGAGAGAGAGAGAGAGAGAGAGAGAGAGAGAGAGAGAGAGAGAGAGAGAGAGAGAGAGAGAGAGAGAGAAGGAAGACAGTAGGCAGAGGGAAGGGGTGAAAAGATTTGGGGATGGGTTTGGGTGGTGTCATGTTAGAAGCAGATAACGTGAGGTGTTGACTAAAAAGATGAGTAAAATTAACGTACCCTTTACACAATCCCATTAAACGTAAATCACAGATAAATATGCATTATCATACCGATAAACAAAACCCTGAGTTGCATTATGTTTGTGTGAACATGTGCTTCTGTGGTTTATGCAGCGATAGCATGGCGTGGCGAGAATGAGGGAAAAACCAAACGCGTCACAGGTGAGTCCCAATTGGGCGCACACGTGACACGGCATTCGTGCACGTAACCAACAAATCATAACCGAATCCTTAGTAGTCAACATGATTATTTACACCCCTCCAAATAATCGATATGGTGGAAGCTTGTGAAGCTTTTCGATTCTTACAAGCTTTTCGGCCTATGTCTACCCAGCATCACTCACAACTCCCTTCCTGAGAGCCCCTCACCTACCCCCACCTTCATCGTCAATCGTCACCCTCGCGAGTCCCCCTTGATTCTAGTGGCACATATCTGAACCTGCCCATCGATGAAGCTCTGTAAAAGTTCTGATCATCGTTCTTGGCACCGTGGAACAGCCTGATATAGCATAATCCCATCGACCCCCAACTGCTAGATATTTTACGACTTCGCTTATTGATATGACATCCCATAGCTATGGGTAATTTATGGCATGTTTCATGGGTATACCTCTGTATACCGAGGTCATAGACCTCTAAAAACAGAAGTCTATGGCATAAGTCTATCCTTGCGTTCGGCATCTGGAAAATGAGGGACAATTATCCAGGATCATTGGTACCTAAATATTTGGTATTGCAGGGACCATTGATGCAATTAGTCACAATTTTATATTGTTTTCGCTTTAGTAGGTAATGGCTCTTTTACTCGTTGTCATGTCCGTTGTGCACGTTGTCAGCCTAAAACACCGAATGATCCCGGTGATCCCGGAAAATTATCCCTGATTATCCGGATGCCGAGTGAACGCTATGTACAAATTCATTTTATCATCGCCTCTGTACCACTACCCATTATCCTATAGTACACATAAGATATAAAGCACATAACATGCATAGGTACTACATAGTTACTTGCGATCTGGCTCATAACACTCTCTCCCCTAAAACCACCACTGACCTCGCCCTTGCACGGCCTCCCAAACCCATCCCTGACGCCGCCTCTGCGCCAGTTCCGCCGGCTGATCAGCTGACCGGAACAGGCCGGATCCGCCGCCGCCACCGCCGCTGTTCCCACCGCCCGCCGCCACCGCCCGCCAGCCGTTACTGCTACCGCTGCCACCGGTACTGCCATCGTTCAAAGCCTGCCGCCGCTCACTGCCCGTGGGTGGCAGTGGCAATTACGATGAGAGCAGGCAGGCGGCGGTGGTGGTCTATGGGAGTCTATGGGAGTCTAGGCGGGATTCGTGAGCTATGGAGCTAGATGCGATGGAAGTCGTAACATGGAGGCGATGGTCGATGGAAGTTGTCGCGACGGTGGCGATGGCTCGTTCGATAGCGGTGGCGATCGGAGTCACGGGAGGTGAAGATGAGGTAGCGATGACGGTTGAAGTGAGTGTAGATAGTGACAGTGGTACCTATAGGTGGCAGCGATGGTAGAAGCGGTGACGCTGGTGACAGCGGTGGTAGCAAGCTGTGGAAGCGAGTAGCAAAAGCGATAGCGATGATTTATTGGCAATGGAGGTAGTGGTAGCTATGGCAATGCAACAGACGACGAAAAAAGAGCAGCGACGTCTTATTAGCTCACCAACGATTCACCGAGTCATACCAACACCAACAAAAGAAGAGACTTTAAGGGGGGGGGGGGCGGGCACTGCCGACTTTTGGTCCCTTTCTTGCCATGCAACGCCCATAGGGATAATGTTAAAATGGCAAAAGCAATGGGGGCACGGTGCCCCGGTGACCTCCCCGTTCCGCCGCCAATGGAAAAGTCATGGCTTTTACCTACATGGGCATATAACGCCATAACATATCAAGCCATAAAAGCCACTGCGGTGACCATAGAGGCAGTATACCAATGTCAGCGGCGGCGGCGGCGGCGGCGGCGCACCATTAGAGCGCGGAGCTAGTCACGGTCCCGATTAGTGGTGTCAATCGGTTACCAAAATTTCGGTATACCAATACCGAACCGATACCGATTCGGTATTCGGTATTTTATACCAAAAGCATTTGGTATTTTGTCGGTATTATGAAAGTCAACTACTGTCATAAAAAATTAAAACATTTTTGATAAACCTTCTGAACTCAAATTTGATTTGCTAAATGACATTGGATGAAGAAAAAGGACAATCATGACACATTTCTCCCAAATGCATGATGTCATAACAAATGGGCAAACACATTAACTGCAACATCAAACACATCAGTCTACCAATGTTAAATGGCAACTTATCAGTGCCAGCAAATTCCAATACCATGAGGATAATTATCTTACAAAAAAGCTAATGTGCAAGACATGTACATTAAACATTACATATATTACATTAAACATGTATCAATGTTTAACTCACTGTATGCTGGAAAACATACTCTAACTACCTTACTCAAAATTTCCAAAGCATTCGTTGGTAACAAATTTGACTTTGTTTTGAGGAGTCTGTGATTGATCTTGACCTTGTCTTGCTCTCCATTTCACTGCATGCAGTTACATTATCCAAAAGTCAAAACCCTGTTTTTATAGCACTAGCTTCACCAATATCATCTAATATTGAAGGCAGCATTTATCACTTCATCATCACCACACAAATTCTCAACTTCGTTCAACTTCAAAAAGATCCTGTGGATAATTTGTTTTCTTTACTTAGTGTTCTCTTTCCTGCTCTCCTCAACAGATAGAAATCGCTAGCAATATAATCAAAAGCATTCCTAAAATGTAATTGGGTCTTGGCTTGATTTGCAAATAGCAGTTCAAAAAACTGAACACATCTAAGAACTTTTAAATGTCGCAGCTGCGCTAAAATCCGATGTAGCTCAATAACTAATCAAAAATAATTGAGCAACATTGTTTTTCTGGTTCTTCTTTTTTGAGCGATAGCGGCGTACAATCTTTCTTGAATTAATTAAAAGATACCAAAATATGAACATCATATTTTTAAATTAAGTGTACATAAGCAAAAAAGAAAAAACTTAATTTCATGCAGTTCCGTGCGTTTCGTGCCTAAATGCAAATGGCCGCCGCCTGCACGGCTGCCATTGTGGAAGTGATGCCACGTGACACGTGTCAATGATTCCGTAAAATTATGGACATTTTACTTAGCTTTCATCGCGATATCATTACAGTGGTGTCTCCCTGGGTGTCTCCTATCTATCAGTGTGCCTCGTAAGTAATTATTTATCAAGATTTGTTGTGTTAAACATTTATTTATGATGAAAAATTGGCTGCGTCACTATCGTCACCATCGCTACTTGAGTTGAACTGTAGGTATCATGGATTTTGTTTACATTAATGGTATAGCCCAGCCCATCATTGTCATTTGGTTACCATTTTTGGATCATGGTAACACACGTAACCCTGTCTTGACTGGACTCGAATTGAATGACTTGGCTTCAGGCATGGATGAGGTTCAGGGTTCAAGTTCTTGTCCTATCACCTCATGCAGATGACTTGAATCCACATCCCAGTTAAGAAATTGACCTGAATATTTGTTAATAGTTACACAATACAGTTATATTTTTTGCAGTGCAGATAACTTAGAGATTTCCTGACTTGTTTTGTTGCCTTATTTTAAAGTATTCCCTTTTATTGCTTATCATT